CTCTGCGAGGCCCGCCATGCTGTCATATGGAAAACGAGGTTCCGGACACTTTCTGCCAGAGAGCATTTGGCCGAACGAGGTTCCGGACACCTTCTGCCGGAGGGAATCCATTGGAACGAGGTTCTGAACAATTTGCCAGCGGACCTACGTTGTCCATGGTGGTCCAGCTGGTTTGGCCTGCCGCCAGTTGTATTCTAGCAATAGCCCTTGCGATGCCCACTGTGTTGGAAGCTGGGCCTTTGAGAGCAACGTAGTTGCTCACCGGCCATCTTTTTTGCATGCACCTCGCCTCGGTGCACATGGTGCTACTGCTTCTTGTCTGAACTGCCCTTGTGCCCTTGCGAGACCACCCTGTTGGAAAGCTGGGCTGCGTGTCGTTCTTGCATCGGTATATATGGCTATGTGGTGCTGTTGCCCTGCCGGTCACGCGTTGGGCAATTTATGTGTTTGGCTGCCCTTGTGTCGATGTCGCCATGCAGCCTCTTGCGACTGGCCCTGCTTGTCTCGTCTCTCGATTCTTGGCTCTGCTTCCATTGCCCTTGCGAGGCACTCTGGTGGGAAGCTGGGCTTGAGAAAGCAACTTGCTTGTGCACCTGCCGTCTTGCTTGGCATGCACCTTGTCTCCGTGGGTTGTGGAGGCGCTGCCCCTGCGGCCATGCTTGCTCCTGTACCTTCGCGAGCCTTTCTCTCGGGGAGCCGGGCAGGATGTGTGCGGCGTTATACTAGTTCATGCTATGGGGAGGCACTGTGTGCCCCCACGCTCCTGGCAATAGCAGTTGAAGCTTAACAAGGGCTGAACGATATCTGCCGGCGAAGTCTGCAAGTCGCAGCCCGTTTCACCATGGGGTGCATAGTTTTTTTCTCGTATCATTCTTGTACAGTTGCTTCTTGTAGCTTATTGTAGTTCTTACTGGGACCGAGCGCAGCAGCTGCTGTCTACGAGGCCTGCCCACGCCAAAAAAAAAACGTCTGGCCGCCTAACATCCAAGATTACAGGGATTTCGTCATTGATTCTGCACTGTAGCAGTGTGTCGCACCCAGCCATGTGGATGTCCAAGCTTGCTGGAAGCAAGGCTTCGATTTACTCTTCTTGGCCATTGCGCGACCCAGAATTGCAGGGGACGGGGCAAGTGAGTAACAGGAGCTGTTTCGAATGCTCGCAATTCATGCTGAGCAACTTTGCTAGCTAAGTTTGTGTGTCGCAGCGACGTTTCCCCTGTACAGTCGATTGTTGCTTCTTTGTTCTTGCTCTCTGAATTCATAAAGAGACCGAGCGCAGCAGCCGCTGTCACAGAGACCCAATCACGCTCAAAAAAAAATGTTTGCAAGGATGTTTGCAAATTCCAGCTTTAAAGAGCTCCGCTTTTCCAAACATTGCAGTTTTTCGGTGGTTTGCTGTGTCGTTGACCGTCATTGCAGATGTTTGGGCCCTGTCCATCCACGTCGGAAACATTTTGGCTCAGCTTTTGAGCCATCTTGGATGTTTTGGCATGTCTGAAGCTGTGAGAAGCTGTTGAGTTGGGTCAGTGACTGCACTCGTTTCGTTTCGTTTTGTTTGTGTTTTGCTTGGAGACAAACAGCTTCTGGGTTGCTTGCCCGCAGAGCACATGCATGCCAAGCCCGTGGCCTACTAATTGGATGCTCTTGGCCTTCGGCATGGAGTGGACTGAGCGCCATGTGTCATTTTCCCAGAATGCTGAGTTGCGACTTTGCTTTTGGCTCTGTTGGTTCTGTCAGCCCAGACTGCACTTACAGCTCAGCCAGCAGCCCAGATTGCACCTGCAAGTGCAGTGCCAGCGATGGAAGTGTTCCAGCTGCTGCGTCTGGAACGCCTGTTCAGCTTCCGGTGCCGCCGACGCCCACATTGGGTGCGGACCAACTGCAGCACACGCGGCTCCAAATGTGGGGTCGAACTGTCGAAGTTTCTCAGCAATTTTGGCTTCGCTGGAGTGGCCCTCTGTTCTCTCAGATTTCATCAACCAGTTCGCGACAATTCTCTCCACGAAAGATCATAGGCTTGGTCGTCCGGAAGATGCAGGAGCGGCTCGGAGCTCCACCAGCGCCGCACTGATGGCAAGGAGAGGATTGACGCAGAGGCGCCACGCTTCGTCCTCCGTGCAACATCTGAGCCGCATGGCTCTGTCAGCAAAACTGCAAATGTCGCACCCAAATTGATCAACGTTGATGCGAAATTAACGGAGGGGGCGCTCCCGCCTTGGAGCGCCATTCATGTAAAATTTCCCGTTGCAGGGTCAACGTGGCAGGATCATCTGTGGGCCACATTGCTCGTGAGCCCTGTCAGGGTGAGACAGTGCTGGGTGGGGCGCCCGTCCAGGGCGCCAAGCAACTCGTCAAAGTCCTTCTGCCATGACTTGGTGTGAGTGTGAAAGACGTTGGGGCAGCCCGCGCTGTACAACTCGTCCACATAGACAGGGTCTTCCTTGACCCCTGCTCCCGAACTTTTTGCTCGCTGAAGGGTGGCCTGGCCGCAGGAAGCTCATGAGTTCCTGCGTGGTGTGGTCAGTAGCAATGTGGACAAAGCTACGAGCCTCCCGCCCATCTGGTGTTTTCTCCGCTCGCACGGACTTCAGTAGCTGCACGATCAACATCCACGCGGCTCTTGATGCCTCGGAAGAGCGTGTCCTGGAAGGCTTCATAGAGTCGAGCCGGGGGCTTAGTCGCATTCCCCGAGTATGCCCGCAATCCAACAAAGAAAGCTTGTAGCCATCCTCGTCATCAAGTGTGACCGCATATGGGCTGATCGTATCAAGACCGGGAAAAATAACTGGCCGTCATGGATTGTCCGCGACGCCCTGTCAGCTTCTATCAGGGCCTCGCAGTGCAGTTGGGCTCGATGCTGTCCCGTATCGTCATCATATGCCACTACCAATTGGGGCAGTGGCTTCCACTTCACAACCCCAAAACAGGGGCCGCCAAGCGGCTCCAATTTTGGGGTCCTCTGGTTGCCAGTCAAAATATGTTAAAGGAGCTTGGCTGCATTTCGCGGCCTGTTTTCTGGGCCGTGACACGGCCCCATTTTTGGGGTCGCAAGTTTGATTCCTGCACCCACAGCGGCTGAATCTCGTCAGCTGCGCATGTCATTGATTGTAATGACTTTGGGGAGCGTCTGGTGGAGGACCGGTTGGAAAGTCGGAACTTGTCCAAGGCAGCTGTGTGTTCGCCCTTAATAGTGCTGCAACCAGCGGAATGCAACTGTTGGAGTGAGCGGCAGCCGCCGCCGATGAGGCCACGCCAAAAAGAGCAAAAGAGAGATTGGAAGAGTTCGGCAAATTTCTGCACTCGGCGTCTTGCAGAACTCTCACCGATTCGGTGTATCAAGCCGAGTCGAGAACAGGCGGGCTTGGCGGAGTGTTGTTCACGGCCATCCTATCCTTTCGCAAACAGATGGGCTTTCGATCCATGATGCACCGCGTTATCCATAAATTGGAAATGTTTGGATCCTGAATGGAGTGAAATTGCATGCGCAGCCACAAGAAAGACCTGCAAAATCAGCCGGCCCTCCATCATGAATTCGCAAAGTCGGCGCTCAAGATTTTAACAGTTTGTTGCATTTGCACACACCGTGGCAGTGTAAACATGACGTACGAGAGTGGTTTACAACTTTCACTTAGACTTCCATAGATTTAAACTTAAGCAGCGACATGTTGTTTTGTGTTTCTTAGAAAAAACGGTTCGAATTTCGAGAACACAAAAACCGCAGCGAAAGACACCTGATGCAATTGTCGTTCTCCCATCGTTCAGCATTCATCATCATTCTTACCGTCTGACAAAATTGTATTTTCTCGCTACGTGTATTGAACACGGATAGTCTGTGAGCTTTCAGCAGAGGGAAGAAACGCGATATCCATCCGTTGTCTGCGTAAACGGTGGTTTTCATCAACCTAACAGGAAAAAGCAAGCACAAAAACACTTTTTATGTAAAGAGAAATCTCCAAATTGGAAAAAGGTTTTCTTGTTTCTCGCAGCATTTGGGCTCCTGCTTGTGCCACCGTGACAGGTTTGGTGGTACGATGTTTAATCTATCGCGCGGCATGTGTGTTATCAGGTCTAAAGTTTAGGCTGTGGGGTTTCTACACGTTGTGCACTGAAGAGTTCACGTTGTTGCTTTGTGTTGTGTGTGTGTGCTGGGGCATGGAGAATCTGGCAATGGGACGAAGACGGCAAGCATGCAAGGCTCGCGCTGGCAGCGGCGGATGATGTCGGTGGCTTTCTTGAAAAGTATGCCAAAGGGCAGCTCTGGTGTTAAGAATGGTTTTCGGGACTTGGACCGTCATCAGCGTTCGTTTTCAAGTATGCAGTCTAAGCCACGGAGAGAGTCATAACCGCCCTACCATGGCTCCATGGGCAAAAAAACAGGGTTCCGCAATCCTCAGCCCAGACTGGCCCAGACTCCTCCTAAACTCCACGTGGAGCGTTTTTGGAACACCTGCCTCCGACTGCAATCCCAAACTTTAGAAGGTGCAGTGCAACAGAGGGTTGAGGGTGTAGGTTTTGGCTTTCAGGGCTTTTAGGGTACCTAAACCCTTGCGCTCAACCCTCAACCCAAACCGTTGGCACCGCAAACCGTACCAAATAGTACGCAGCCCATGTAGCCCTCTTGGATCCTAGATTGTCCTAGATTTCCTCAGGAGCCACAAGCTTCCCTGGCTTTGGAGTTTGGGGTTTAGGGGGTGTGGGGTCGGGGTTGAGGGTTTAGAAGCCTGAACGCCTGCAAACTCAAAGAACTTCCGGCGGGTGGTTGACACAAGTCCTCCGCATTGCGACTCGCCCTTGGTTGCCCCCTTCTCATACCCTAAACCCTAAACCCTAAAGCCTCTTCAGTCCGGAGGAAGCCCCTAGTTATGCGGGATGTTCGTGAATTAGGGGCGGCAGTTGTGCTAAGCCTAAAATCCAATAGGCAAGGGCCCGCTCCGAGTTGAGCGCTTCGCACGCAGACACCTTTGGTGCTCAAGCCTGTCACTTGCAGGATTTGGCCGGACATGGCTGACGGGCCTGAGTTCCAGGACTACGCTCAGCTGGCGTTCTGGCTAGGCTGCGGCCCTCTGGCAAAGCTACTGGTCATTCTGTGGGAGCGAGCTGCCCACTCGGAGCCTCTTGCAGAGCCGACAACTGCGAATGCAGAGGTGAGGAGCGCAGCAAGGACCACAAGGGAGTACATCCTCTATTTTGATGTTTGGCGATCCATCTGTGTTGCCCTGGTAGTGATCACCCACTCCAATGAAGCCTACGCAGAGTGGAACGTTTTTGGCGTCCAGCTGTGGGTCTTGCCGTACCTTGAGCTCATCTCTGGCACATTGTGTGCTGTCAGCAAGAGAAGCGTGCTCGACTATGCAGCAAAGCTCCTGCTGTACACCTCCTTGGGCTGTCTGCTGAACCTGTTAGGATGCTTGGCTCGCGGCAATCCGCGCTGGTGGGACGACACTGTCATGAATGTCGGCTTCCAACTTGGCTTCACCTTCCAGCTCGCCATCTTTGGCCTTTTGATGACGCCCCTGCGCTGGCAACTCTCCGAAGCTGAGAAGGCGGGCCCGGCGGGGGTGGGGAGTTCGGAAGTCTCCCCTACTTTAGATAACCTGTGGTACTGAGGATCGAATAGAATAGGGACCCCGCCAAAGGCAAGCAGCCGGGCGCGGTGGAACATTATCATCTTCGGGGCTCTTGCACTTTGCCTTCTCCTGGCAATCCTGACGGAAGCAGTGCTCAACAAGTCCGAAGAGGGCTTGAAGGAGGCAACAGATTACGTGGTGATCCCGGCGACGGAGTGTCTCCTACATGTCCTGATGCTCTGCGTGCTTGCAGAGTATCTGCCGTTGAGGTGGAAGCTTGGTCATATTTGGGTAAGGAATATACATGGACATGTTTAGTGCTATCCCAACCATGAACTACGGTTGATGATTGAAAACCTGCACTACTGTAATGACCCTAAACTACGGGAATTATGGTGTCTTCCTTCATTTGGGTACTGCAGAGATGTTTTGATATCACCAACCGTAGGAAGGGCTTCCTGGGCCACGCGTCATGGCTCTTCCTCTACAGCACCCGGCTTCTGCGCCGGCAGCCCCGACCCGTGGGTCCCGAGCTGCACCTCGGGGAGCCCCTGGGTTCTTGTTAAGGACCCAGAGACTCCAAGACCCCTTAAATTAAGGAACATACTTCAAATCATATTAGAGATCCTACTATAACTTAAGGTATATTCCTTAATTAAGGGATATTGGAGTCTCTGGGGAACTTAAGGAATGTATTTAGGGTTCCTTGAAGGATTACTTTAAGCGTTCTTGTTAAGAAGTTTGTTTAAAGTTACCATAATAGAGATCTATCCTTAATATCCTAGTGTTTAGGGTTTCCGGTTCTTGTTAAGGAGTTTGTTTAAAGTTACCATAATAGGGATCTATAGTAGATCATATGGTTTCCTTATTATAGTTAAACCCAACCCTCAGAGATTCCCATTATGGTAACTTAAAATAGAATCCCTAAATCCCAGACCCCCGGGAGGATCCAAAAAGTAGATCCCTTGATGGGGGTTCCTATAAAGTACCCTTAGTAGTACAGGGCCCCAAATTAGGGTTTAGGTTTAGAGTTTAGGGTTTCGGGTTTAGGGTTTAAGGGTTTAGGGTTTAGGGTTTAGGGGTTTGGGGTTTAGGATTTAGGGCTGCTTTCTAGATCCTCCCGGGAGTTTGGGACTAAGAGCCCAGGCTCTTCTTCTGGGCCTTCACCGCCAAGTTGGTGCCCATGGCCGGGCAGGAGGTCCCGAGCCCTAAACCCTGAACCCTAAACCCTGAACCCTAAATCCTGAACCCTGAACCCTACACCTTAAACCCGAAAAACAAAAAGCCCTAGAACGACGCGCCCCCCCCTCCCCGCTTCTCCCTTTACTTCTGCAAAGGGTGGTGGAGCGGTTCTGGTTTTAGTTAGAGCCCTAAAATGTGATTCTAAGGGTATCTTGGGTATCTTACACTATACCGATTGTAAGGAACCTCAAAGTTGCATGGGTCGCTATTAAGGCCCCTAAAATAGGATAGGTAATCATTGAGGCCCCTATCATAGTATAGGGACATCTGAAGGCCAGCAAAATCTCTCCCCCCAGGCGATCGGGCGCTTGATGACGAAGCTCTGGCCCTTCTTGCTGGTGGCTTGTGGCCTGCTGCTGAGGCCGAACCCTAAACTCTACAAGCCTCGAAACCCTTAAACCCCATAAACCTGAAATCCTGAACCCGAAACCCTAAACCCCTAAGCTCTAAATCTTAAACCCTGAACCGTTAAACCCTAAACCCTAAACCCTGCCGCTGAGGCCGGGCATTTTCGGCCGAAAAGACCAGTTCCCTTGGGACTCCTGGGACGACCGGGCGCGCATGTACTTAGGTGGGTGGTTGTCAATATTAGGGTTTAGGGTTTAGGGAATACGGCACCTATTATTTAAGGTACCCAAGAAGGAACCCTAATTTTCACAACTACCCAGGTGAGTTCATTGCTTGCATGGCTTTCCTCACCATCCCCGCTGCTGGGCTCTGGTTAAGGGGATTGAGTTTAAGTTGCCACCAGAAGGAAAACCTAGCATTGTCTTGTGCAATAAGGGGAGATACAATTTAAATTGCCAGATCCCCATCATAGTAGCTGAGTTTAAATTGCCATAAGAAAAAATCTTCTGTAGCATGTTTGATATAGATCCCTGTTATCGCAACGTACATGAAGATCGGAGGTTGCCAACCTCCCCGAGAAGCTCGCCTTCCCCCAAAGCTGGCGAAGGCACATGGTTTGGCTAAACTGGTGGTCGCTGCTCGCATTCATGAGCCACAAGGCCTTCTACTACCTGGTGGACGGTATCTGGCCGTGGTATTGCATGGTACTCACCGTCTATGCTGCTGCCTTTCTCTGCTTCTTGGTGTGGCGGCCGCGAGATGTTGAGAAAACCCCCGAGCCCGCCGAGGAAAGAGCTTCATGGACGGGCTCCCCGCGTGCAGTCGAATTAGTGCAGGCTTCAGCCTCCTTTTTATCTGCCAGCTAGCGTTGCTCGCATGAGCAACTACTTGGAGGTTCATGGGTAGTTATAAGTATAGTTGTAAGTCCGCTAACACGAGTCATAAGTATAGTTGCCATACTTATAACCCTAGTCATAACTACCCATGAACCTCCAAGTATTCCAGGGCTGGCGGATACCTTGAAATGCCAATGCACCGACTCCCAGCCCGCTACAGAAAAATGCAGGTGGCTTGAGGTGCAAGGTCGGGCTGCTTTAGGATTCTATTGTGTTATAGGCATTAAAGTTTATCTTGCATTATCAGGTAGAGCATTAAACAAAAGGTGATAGTACAATATTAGGATCGTCGGGCCCTTGGGGGCTTTGACAGGTGCTCCCTCTGACTGCAAGATGAAGCCTCTCTGCATTCGTCGTATGTACTACTGGGGTCGAATACCTGTCAACAATTATTTCTGAGGGTCCCTTTCTCTACAGATGTACTAGTACTATAAGTTGCCCGAAATCCCATTTTAATTAGTAAGGCCTTTTTATTACCTGTGCAAGCCTGACTTCGATGCTTTGTGGGGGGATGTGCGGGGTTGACTGCTTGCTGACAGCTGAGTCAGGTCGCGACGTCAAGCACGCCCTTCTCTGCTGCTAGCTCGGTGCACATCTGTTACTGTAGGACCCTGATTTTTTGTTACCTTGGGCCTTTATTCGGGTTCCTGAAATGAATCCTACTATTTTGGGGTTAGAGGCCCAGGGTTTCACGTTAATCCCGAGGTGCCAAAAGCCCTAAGCCCTAAACCCTAAACAAACCCTAAACCCTAAACCCTAAGCCCTAAGCCCTAAACCCTAAACCCTAAACTCTAAACCTTGAACCGGCTACCCCAAGCCCTAAACTGAGTTCCCCAGCCCTCATCCCTCCCAGGCTGCCTCGCGAGATCCACGTCCCCAAACCCTGCGCCCTACTTGGAGTGTCTTTAGGGGACTTAGTAAGTAGTTATTTTAGGGACTTATACGTACCATAATCCCAATTTGGGTCCCTTTTAGGGTACTTATAAGTCTACTTACTACCTACTTAATAAGTCCCCCGACCCTCCAAGTACACCCCCTTAGAAGCCTAGACTTCATCAGCAAGTATCTTTGCGGTGTACATCTCGTGTTGAGCTCTGCAACATGTTAGATTGTTGGTTTCTTGTAGCACGCGGACAATGCTAAAGCTCCGACGGCCGTGTTTGCAGCTGCTCAGCCGAGTTTCACGCTGCGACAAAGTCTGCAGCAAAGTCCACGAGCTTGGAACCTGAAAGGCCACCATGACTTGAGTCCAGAATTGTCTGGATGGGAACTTGGAAGCGCGATGAAAGAGAATTGCATCTGTAGGCCTTTGCTTTGCAAGCAAGCGGTTCAACAGTTTCAGCCAATCTGTGGATTGTTGCCACCAGTTGGCCATCTTGTTGCATAGCGCCACATGGAATGCATGACGAAGTGTTCATTGTTTGCGCGCCTGCAGCATTTTCAAGTTGGACCTCGGCCTCGGATTTCAAGCACAATGCTTTTGGAAGCTGGGTTAGATGTTTCCTGACCGACTACGTTTTGTGCTCATACTTTGATTTCTTGGCGAAGCATCAGGTCGATTGTGAGCTATGGGAGAAGACTTCGAACACTGTGCTTATTGTACATGTACCGAGTGCATGCGTTGTGAAGCACTACACGTACTCGAGAGGACGGCCGTTCTTGACAGGACCAGTTTTCGCATGGCACGCCGAGCAATGTGCAGCCCTGTCTGAACGTCTGACACTGGCTTCAACCACTTGAGGAACACAGCAGTGTTGTTTCCAGAACCTAAACCCTAAATCCCTAACCCTAAACACGTTGTACATTGACCTTTACACTTTCATTTGTCATGTGCATGCACACAGCGCATTGTGTCCTTGGAAGTCGCAGTGCTAAAGCTTCCAGTTGCGACTCTGGTATGCATGTTGCAGAGTGGATCGGCAAGAATTTTCATCAGACTTGGACGTTTCGAGGTGTGTTCATGGCCGCTGCATCGAGCTCCTGTTAGTGTAGATAGCATGAGGTTGCAATCCTACTATGGCATACAGGTATGATGCATGGAAACGGACTGCTATCATCGCGCCACACATGAACCGTCATCACTCGCCCTACTTGCCCTAAACCCAGACCCTAAGCCCACTCATGGTAGCTCTGGGCTTGAGGCTTTCAGCTCCAAGATTTGAGCTGAAAATGCCATAAAGTAAACCGCCTATGATCTTCAGTCTGGAAACCTTGCAAGCCCCGACACCATGTGAAAGCCGGAAGACGCTCACCGGCCCAAATGATGGTGGGATGGATGGGCCTGGATCCAAGCAAGATTTCTCACGAGTCTTGCAATCACAGCATTCCCATTGCGTCTGGTGCATGAAGGTTTCATCGGCCTGTCGAACAACTTTAGGTTCAGGGTTCAGGACAGTGCCTTCGGGTTTCAGTGTCCAACCATTGATATTGGAGGAGCTAAGGAGCCAGGGATGATGATAATCGCCATCAAATAGGGAGCTAAAGAGCCAAGGGAACCCCAAAACCACTGGTCAGGTGTGCGCTTTCTTGCAAACAGCCTCCGTAGACTTACGAGATGAAAGTCTCCGGAGGCTGAAGATGGTGAAGCCTCGAGGCCTCAATTCCTTCGAGCCTTTCTGCCAGTCTTTTTAGTCATGTGGGGTTCAAGGTGTCTGTGTGTGCTTTTTCGTGTTGTGTAATCGTGATCTGGGCTTCATCTAGAGGTGTATGTATGTATGCATGTATGTGGGTATGTACATACATATTTATAGGTATATGTAAATATGAATACCACTCGGAGGCGAGATGATTGCTGATGGTGGTGGTCGTGGTGGTGGTAATGGTTGGTAGCTAGTCTTTCATCGTGGTGACAACTGCAATGAAACTCGTAGTCGTAGTGGTAATGATGAAGATTATGCCATCGCAACGCTCATTGGTATTGAGATCAGCGTCATCACGCGCAAGGCTGATCGCATGGCTGGGTTTAGTCTTTAGGGTCGGGGGTTTTCTTGGTACTGAACCTGATCATGGGTTGTTCATGACTTGTTGTAAATCAGTACTTGTCAGCATTATTCACCTTTATGGATGTTTCGGCTATGCATCTTTCAGTGATCTCCGGAGTATTAGCACTATGACAGATGGTCTATCATCCACCTAGCGCTTGATCGGCTTTGTTGGCATTCATATTCAGATCCTGGACTAGTACCTGTGCAACAGTTTAGGACATGTGGTTTGTTTTGGTTCGAAGTTCCGTCCTGTTGAGAGTTGGCCGGTTGGCGCTGTGTTGCCTTGTGTTGTCAGTGCTAGGGCTGTGTTTTGAGCGCCCGGCCAAAACGCTCAAACCCCAAAACTTTAAATGACTCTAAATTTTGACGGCCCTAAACCCGAAGAAGTGGCGGGCAAGGATCGCGGTCCGCATCGGTGGATGATGTCGGTGGCTTTCCTTAAGCTTATGTGAAGCTTGATTGTCTTGAGAGTCGTAGGCCTGCCGCAAATTGACAGTCACAACACTGCTTAGAGGCCCAGGGGACTTAGTAAGTAGGTTATAAGTAGGGTTATAAGTACCCTAAAAGGAGTTACCCCAATTATAACCCTACTTATAACCTACTTACTAAGTCCCCTGGGCCGCCGAGTGTCGCTGCGACCACGACTGGTTTCGTCACGGTGACCGTGAGTATCACTGCCACCAATGCTCTCACAATCATTGCTACCATGCTTACCACCTGCCTTCTCACCCTAAACCCTAAACCCTAAACCCTAAACCCACTTCATGATTATCTTCAGTCATCCTCCCCACCATCCTTCAGGTTCTCGTCATATCATGTTCTACATCATGATGACAGTCGTTCGTCACTCATCCAGCATCCCGGTCATCGACCTCGTTACCTGCATGATCCTGTCCATCATAAAGCTGTCCTCTCCATTGTCATCCTCTTCAACATCACTCTGCATCATCCTGTTCAACATCATCGTTTTTGCATGTTTCATCACATCAAGTAGAATGGTTGTCAGCATAATATCTACCACTGCGCCTGCATCTCTCTGGAGCCTTTACGTTCGTCTTCACCTTGGATGAGTTCCAGCTGGCATAGTCTTTTTGGTTAGGCTTGTGATGTCGGTCATGTATTTATCAGCTACAGCATGAACCATCAATGGTTCGGGCCTACAGTCTAGAGATTAAAGGTTTACGTTCTCAGGTGTTTCGGGTTGGTGTTTGTGGTTGCGAAGTTGAGGTGTTTTGGAAGTGTTTCTGGTTCGGCAGTGTTGACCACAGTTACAACAAGTTTGAGCCTTACTTTTATCAGGGTGCCGCAGTCTTTTTGGGACCTAGAAAGGAACCCTACTTTCAGAGACCTACCCCTATACTGCCCTTTTAGAAACCCTTACAGATCCTTTTAAGGCACCCTAAGACGGGCACCAATTCAGAGACCCACCCATATTCATAAAGTACACCCCCGAATAACCCTCAACCCCAAGCCCCAAACCCTAAACCCCAAGCCCTAAACCTTCAACCCCAAACCCTGAAGCCCAAACCCTAAATCCTAAACCCCAAACTCTAAATCCTCTACCCAGAGAGCCCAATACCCCCTAAATAAGGAATATAGCTCAAATCATAATATGAAGCATTATATAGTTTAAGCCATATTCCTTAATTAAGGGGTCTTGGGCTCTCTGGGTACCCTAAGCCTCAAAAACTGCCTCGTGGAGCCGAGGCGGTGGTCCACAGCGCGAGGCGGATGGCGTCTATGCCCAGCTCCTCGAGCAGGCTATTCAGGGGCCTCAAGTGGTAGGATGAAGGTAGGTGGGGTAATTCCCAAATAAGAGTGCTTATATAGGGGCTATGGCGAAGCTTCGGGGTGTAAAAAAGTTTCGGGTTTAGGGTTTAAGGGAGTCGAAAGGGGGTTTAAATTATGAGAGTAGGATTCCTTTTCACTGGTTTTACCAGGGCTACTATGGGGTATTATAGTTATAGTATAGTGCTGTGACGAAGC